GGCTGCGCTGGAGGCTGTACACGGCAGGGGGGTACCTGCCTGCTCACCCTGCTCGCTGTCCACGAACCAGAAGCCCGCCGTGCGCAGCACGGCCTCCTTCTGCGCTGTGTCTGTGGCGCAGATGGGGTGCAGGAAGAGGAGCTGCCAGTCGCAGGGGTCCAGCGCCGCCACCCAGGCCGGGTTGCCTATGGCGCACGTCGACTGCACGAAGAGGAGGGCGGCGCGAGGGGCGTGGATTGGGCATCCTGTCCAGCTGTGTGTCTGCTCAAGGTGGTGCTCGGGCATATATGCCCGAGCAAATATATATGGTGTTTGCTGTGGAATAGAGTGCGTGAAATTGCAAAAAAAAAGGCAGGCAGGCGGGCAGCGGGTGGGCAGCGGGTGGGACAGCAAGCAGCCAGGCGGCAGGCTGCTGAGCAGCGGCATGAGTACCGACCTGGGTGTAGGCAAAGTAGCCTGGGTAGTAAGTGCGGAAGATGGGTGTGTCGTTCCTCAGCCCCAGGGAGGTCAGCTGCTTGGGGCGGAGACACAAGGGACCATGTGTCAGCTGGGCTTTAAGTACAGCATGGCATGCAGGCGTGCAGCCGTGCAGGCAAGGAGGCACTGGCGAGGAGGCAGGCAGGCGGACAGACAGGCAGGCAGGCTGGCGCCCTACGTTGCGGTGGGCCCAGAAGCACTGGCACAGCGAGGTGCACGCCTCGAAGTGGTGGTGGTGCATCTGGCGCAGGGCCGGCTGCGTGGCCGGCCCCTGAGGGATCATGGAAGCTGCCAGGGAGTTCCAGCGCTCGGCAAAGGCCAGCGAGGCGGGGGTGGGGAGCATCACAAACTGGCCGGTGTTGACTGCAGGAGGCGAGGGGGGCGAGGCAGGCAGCGGGAGGCGAGTGGGCATGGGGCAGCGTGGTCATGGCATGCTTCCTGGCGCTGGGCACGCAGGCTGGCATGATGGCACATGGCTGCACACGGCTGTGATGCAGCCAGCCAGGCAGCCGGCCAGGCAGCCCCACCGGGGGTCCTCGTGCTGGAAAGCGCCATCCGCCCCTGCCTGATCCATGAAAGCCAGGTAAGTGTCCCACACCGGCTTGACGGTGTAGGCTATGTCCACGTCTGGAAGAGAGACAAAGCGCGGGCAGGCACGCACGGGCTCAGCTGGCATCACGCACGGGCTCAGGGCGGCGGCAGCCGCTGGCTGGCAGGCACACGGCCTTGGCAGCTAGCCTCAGCCCTGCTGGTGCTGCTGGCGTGAAACGCACCTGCCAGCATCACGACATATCCCTGCCGCAGCACATGCAGCACCACCGCAGGCTTGAGCCACACGATGGCCAGCCAGTCATGCTTGCCCCACCCTGCCGCGGTGCCTGCATGTGCAGCCCAGGGCCAGCATGCGGGGCTCGCCAAGGCTGTGCTGGGCCCGCCTTTTCCCATTGTCGCCGCTTGCAGCGAGACCAGACGCGCAGCTTGGGCAACACCAGCGGCCCCCAC